TTAGTGTAGACTCCCAGGACCCTGTCTGTGTTAGTGTAGACTCCCAGAGCTCAGCCACTTCACCTGCCCAGCACTCTTCATGCTTCTCTATCCCTGTACATCGCGCACTGTACAAAGTGAGTGACAGGTAGTGAGTGACAGGTAGCATGGATCAGTTAGATACTTCAAAGACCTGTGGCAGGTGGTGTTCATGAGAAGGACTTTCCCAATGTTAGAGATATTAAAGACTCTTTGGGGAGCTCTATTTTGTGAGGGAGGTCGGAATTTTTTTTTTTTTTTTTTTTTTTTTTTTTGAGACAAGGTTTTACCTTGTAAGCAAGATCTTAGCTTGGAGCCCAGACTGGCTTAAAACTTGAAATAGTCCTCTTGCCTCAGCCTCCCCAGTGCTGGGATTGCAGGCTTACCTCGTCAATTGCTCTAGTCTGTTTTATGGTTAATGAAGCTAAAACATCAAAATTAGTCAAAGGATAATGGTCTGCATGACCCTGATTGAGGAATACGTTTTCCATATGTTCTATTTAATATCTCTGAAATTGGAATAGATACACTGGGCTATGTGTATAATTCATGTTCTCTCCCTCTCTCTCCCTTGGCTTCCTCCATTCCCTTCCCCTCCCCACTCTCTCCCTCTCCCCCTCTCTCTTTCCCATCTTCTCCCTTCCCCTCACCATCTCCTCCTAGGAAAACAGGGTTTCATGTAGCCCAGGCTGGACTAAAGGCATGATGAGGTTGAGGATTGTGTTGAACTTGATCTCAGTCACTGTACCCATGGCATGTGTCATGTCTGGAGAGGAAGCTTTTTAATCTTAGTACCACACAAAAATCAGCGTCATCTGGATTAGATAGAATACTTTAAAAAAAATGAGAAGAGAGCTGGGCATGATGACATACACTCATTAATTATCCAAGCACATGTGAAGTGGAGGGGGAGGAGGACGAAGAGGAAGAGGAGGGGGGCTGAGGAGGAAGAGGAGGGAGTTCAAGGTATCAGGTTTGATGTCTGGGCATTTGAGACCCAGTCTCAAAACAGTACAAACAACAAAATCACCACAAACAGAAGACGCTGATTCTCTTCTGGTTATATAACTCACTTTTACTAGTAAAAGATATCCACAATTTAAGATTTTATCTTAATGTTATATTGCCACACCAACTGGTTTTATGAGCAGGAGGAATATATTTTATTATATATATATTTTTTTTCCTCATTGTAGATGTGGTTGATATAGGCTCACTGCAGAAAACCCCTAAGAGGAATATTACAAAAAAAAAAAAAGAAATAGCTACCAACTTAATGCCCACCACCAGGAGAGAACATTTTGGCTCCTTTTCCTCCTGACCATTTGTTTTCCTTTTTCTGTCATACACATAGTTCCATGTAGACAGATTATGCAAAGCTTGCATCTATCTTTATAGGGAGAGTACACACACATGCATGCATACATACATCCATACATATGTGTACATTGCTATGTGTTTAGTTTGCATGACATCTTAAGGTTTTGTGCTTTATTATATA